AGTTCAATTTTATCTTGTTCTCAGAGGAAATGAAAATCAGCATTCTTAAACACTATCAAGTTGTTTATTGAACGAGCTTAAATTCGTAATGCAAGTGTTATACGAGTTTAGTTCTATTTCATATAAATGTTCTTGCATATCGATGATTTCTTAGTAAAACAATGTCTAGTGTTTCAACTCCCAAAACCATATCCAATTATTGCAATGATAGCAAATTTTTGTTACTCAGTTTTAATGCAATGTATTGTCGGTTTGTGGAAAATACCAAATTGCGGATGGTTGAAAATGAGCATTAGGATGCTTATTTGTTGCCACTGTTAAGTTTCTCAAAAAAGGATACAGATGTGCAATGCCACTTGTCTTCTTCATCTTTAAAGAAAGTCCACGATGATGGGAGAAACTGTAAAAAACTTTGTTAAACCAAGTGCAAATAGTTCTCTTTTCTAGTCCAACATTTTAGCAGATATACAATAGGGAAGAGAAGGATGTCTGTTCATTTATAACTCTGAATTCGTGTATCAAAGGACTGTGTGTTTGAGCCTTACAATGTTGAAACTGTTCAGATACCGGCGAAATGGAATACTAACAATGCTTAAGAGAAACGTAGCAGTAAAACTCGCTCCTCAGCGTTGGCAAGAGAACGCAGCTGATGGTACCTTTGACGTGGTACTTACATTTGAAGAAAAAGTTTTTGATATGGTTGTTGAAGGTATGTATATTTATTGACATCGTCTTCCATGCATGACATCAATTATGAGGAACTTATTAATGTGTAATGTCATCTATAATCTATTAATTACATCTTGAAGATTTATGTTGATTGAAATAATTCTCTTATTGGTTTTTGAATTTTTCATTGTAAAGAATTTTAATGAAACCATCCGGAGTAGAAGTGTTTTCATTAACTCAAGTGCATAAAACTCTAGGACAACAGTTAAAATCTTCTAGAATGCATTTTCTTTATCAGATTTAAGCAACAGACAAATGAGTGCACTGAGGCATGTTCAGCAACTGGAGAGAAATCATTTTGCTGCTATTTATATTATATAGATACGTATCTTTGCAAAATTAGTTAGTCATCGTTGAATGAAAATGGTGCAGATCTCCACAATCGGAATCACGTGCTTTTTAAACCCGTCCTAGTGATCAACTTGGAAGTAAAAGATAACCACGAGGAAGCAGCTATAGGGGGTCGGCTTGCTTTACAATTGTGCCAGGAGGTATACATCGCTACTGTACAATTTTTCTATTTGAACTCCTAGAAGGTTTGACTGATTACTGTTCTATGGAACTACTTTATGCAGCTCGAAGGTA